TGGCGACCCGCGACCATGGAGATATAAACAGCTTTTTATAAGGTAAAAATAATAAAACAAGGTCTTTGTCTGTAATGATTAGACATGTTTTTATTATTGTCATTAGTGATTATCTCAATTTCGGCTAAAAGACTTGACAAAATTCTACACACTGTGCTTTTAAATAATTGTATTTTGTCAAAATATAATGAATAAATACATCTATGGGTCGTTCAAATGACATATCTGAAATATAATCCTAAACAATGTTTTTGAGCAGAAAGGACTTACAATTTGGTAATTTCCCCTGCAAGCTGGTAAATTTTTATGTCCAAACACTGTTTTGATGTACTCTTTAAAGTACATGGGGCGGCTGTGGCGGAGTGGTTAGGTGAGTCGTCCTGGAACCAGAAGGTCGCTGTTCGATCCCCTGTCCAGCCGTCTCAGTCGTTGTGTCCTTGGGCAAGACACTTCACCCACCTTGCCTACTGATGGTGGTCAGAGGGCCCGGTGGCGCCGATGTATGGCAGCCCCACCTGTGTTAGTGCGCCCCAGGGCAGCTGTGGCTACAGTGTAGTTTGCCATCGACAGTGTGTGAATGGGTGAATGTCTGTTAGTGTAAAGCGCTTTGGGGTCCGGAGGGACTTGAAAGGCGCTCTATAAGTTCAGTACCATTTACCATTTACATCAAAAATTCCTCATTAGAACTTAAAATAGGATTCAGACCAAATATAAATGTATTATTGAGATTAACAAGACAAATCAAATCATATCTCTGGAGCTGCTCATGATATCAGGATGATCCAGGTATCACATAGTAGCTAAAAAAGCAGGAATCTGAAAAAATACTTGTCATTTTGACAAAATTTGATTTAATCCTTAGTTCAATGTGATGAGTCACATTTAGGGTTTTATATCAGAGAACTTAAAGAATTCTAGTGTTGTCCCTTTGAGACTTAACTTTGAGACACTCCTCTCTTAATCATGAGGTTGTTGGCACATTTCAGGCTTTCATTGATGAATAAAATATTTTTTCTAAACAAATTCATAAAAACTGAATGTGATCTTCTTCCTCTAAATAGCTTTTTGGGATTGTTGTATGAAATGGCAGTTTTTAAACAAAAAAAAAAANTCTTCAAAACAAAAGTAGCACAAACAAAATTTTGAGCAGCACAAATGTAACACAATTGATTGGCACCTGTTTTGTTTGATTTGGGTAATGTGGGGGACTGGTTGACCTCTGATGACCCCTAGAAACTTTTATTATCTTAAAAACCACAGCAGCACAAATGACAATTTTTGCTGCACAAACCAGCACAAACATTTGACACCAATTTCGTTAGATTTGAACAAGGTGGGGGGGGGGGGCAACTTCACTCAGGTGGCCAACAGTACCTGGAGGCTGTAGTAAGGGTTGACTATAACCATCAAGTGGGACAGGTGAGGTTTAGGGAATCTGGGACATTTGAGAAACTGAGGGACATTTGGAAATTAAAGGGTCTACCTGCACCTGGGGCTTGTAGTAAGGGTTGACYACAACCATCAGGTGGAACAGGTGACGGTTAGGGAATCTGGAACATTTGGGAAACCAAGGGGAAAATGTGAGCATAAAGGGGTCTACCTGCACCTGTGGCTTGTATTACATCAGAGAAGCATGCCTCTAGGGGGGACATAGTGTGGCATATGTGGGGAGCAAACTAGAATTGGACCACCAGTACCTGCAGGCTGTGGTACCCCAGAGAAGAGTGTTACCAGGTGGRACAGAGGTGGGACATTTGGCCATCGCAACCTCTCCATTCTAAAGCATGCCAAACATCCCGTTTTCCCTTTTTTACAAAAATGGGACATTTGGCATGCATTATAATGGGAAACTTATGATTGCCAAGTATCCCATTCAAAACTTAGGGCATTCCATAAAAATGCATGGGGCATTTGGCAACCACAACCACCCTATTCTAAAGCATGCCAACCCTGTTTTCCCTTTTTAACAGTAAAAAACCCGTTYGGACATTTGGGTACCTAATTTTTGCATGGGCCAATAGTCAAATGTCTCGGAATTCCCCTAAGGAGTGGTTGTATCATAGGATTGTCTCTCATTTGCAGTGTTGCCAGGTGTACGATAATTATCGTATTTGTACGATAATTTTGCCCTCTGTACGATGTACGATCAATAATCCCAAAAATCCCATAATGTACGATAATTTGACCGCTTCAGAGTATGACGTAATCGACCCGACACGCTGCTCGCTGACATGAGAGGGCGGGTTGTGGAACACAGCGGTGCCGATTTAGCGACTTTCTCGCTATATTTAC